TGGTTGGTGCAGTGGTGGGGGGAGGAACCCTCCGAAACTTGGGTTGGTTCCTCCATAAAATATATTTCAATTAGAATGAAAGAACATATACACACACAAAAACTCACTTCCACCTCTCATTGCAGGTGATAGCAGAAATGGAAGGAAGCAAAGAGCATGCAGATCTCTCCTACATTCAGTGCAGCTGCTTCTCTTCTGCTGCTTTACTGGCAGAAGCCATTAATATAATGCTGGTTGTTCTTAAAACATCCTTCTTGCTTTCACTGCTGTAAACCACATTTATAGTTTCAATATTTTTCTATGGAAACAAAGTTTAGGCTCCACCCTTCTTCTAATGATACCTGACCTACTCAGTTAGGTATAGGAGGTGTTATTCTGCTGACACCATCTTCTCAAAACAGTGCCAGGTGTCTTATAGCAAAGATAGTAATGGTGTTTGTATCATTCGTTCCTCATACAATCACCTCTCTGTGTTTTACTTCTATATTTGCACAAGTCCTTCATTTCTCTGGGCCCAGCCTTGCTGTTTTTCCTTATACTGCAAAATACTTACATCTTCAAGTTACACCACTGAGGAAAGTTACTAAAAACAGTCTAATGAAAAAAATCACTGCACACAGGATGTGCTTCTCTGTGAGGATGGGTAGCAGCATGGAGGTCTGCTTAAAAACTAGGAACCCCAGACCTCTAATTTTCCCTTTAACATTTTTCTAGTCTCTCTTATCACGACCTCCCTTCCACCAGCCTCGGTGAGAACTGGCAAATAAGTATTAATACAAGACAGAAAAGTTAAAACAGGAGATGTAACTTTAAATTTCCCTCAGAAATAAAGTTTTTACCTAAATAGGAGTCATGCTAATAGTTTAGGAAGTAATCCTCTGTTTCTAGCATTCCTTATCCAGGTCCTTTTTTTAGCAGCACTGTACGAGCCTGGTGTTGGGGAGGCACAAATGTGGCAAGACAGGCTAGGAAACGTTTCTGTGAGAGCATGCTCCTTCAGGGCTGGGGCAGAAGGCACCTATGCCACCCTGCCCACTGGTCCAGATCTGTAGGCCAGACCCAGGTTCCTCCCATCGCTGTGACGTTTGAGGGACAACATATAGTGAATTCCCTTTTTTACTTCTAGCATTCATAAGCTACAGTGTTTTCATGGGCAACATGGTACATCCTTTCACTGCAACACCATTAGCTCTGGACCGAATTTAGTCATCCAGTACTTGCCTTTAGTCTCCCGATACATGAGAAATGACATGAGGCATCCTAAAAAGTCTGACATACTACAGCTGCAAAGACAGGCTGCAGTCTCTTGCATTAGTGACAACTGCAAGTTCACTTATATGAACACAGACAAAGAAAAGTCTGCCACAGAGCAATTTCTACAGGACTGCAGGGAGGAAACAGCTGTCTCCTATTTCTTGGATTACAGGGATAAACAGATTTCCAGCCACAGCTTTAGGCTGTGTAACTCTAAAAACCTGAATACAATTTAAAGGGATTCTTAGGCCTGGAGAGGGGTCGCACTAGAAGGCTCTTGTAGTTTAAAGCTTAAATCTTTTCTGAAAGGAGGAGTGCATCTGTTACCGTTCTTACAGAACTCAGCAAGAGTCAAAACAAATAGCATCAAGCACCATCTTTTAGAGAGATTGTGTTGTATGCTGGAGGTTTACTGAGTTTTGCTTTATCTGGGAAGGAAACTGGCTCCCTTTGTTAAGCCCTTGAATAGATGCCTAATACAAGTTTCAGCCTCATTGAGCAGGGTACAAATTAACTATCTGGAACGAACTATATGAGGAAGAGAGAAGAAGGATGAACGAGCTACACAAAGAGAAAGACTAAGCCCAGACATGAGAACAACTTTATTTGCAGAAGTCATTTTCTCATTCTGGTACTCTGAATGATCCTGCTATATACAAAACATAGTAGTCAAGGAGATAGAGTGAGGATTTTACAGAAGAGAAGAGGATGTAGCTAAAATTTCTCAGCAAGACACTCAGTCCTGTAGATAAAAAATAGCAATAAAACTGCTCGAAACTGACAAGTTATGCATGGAAACAGCGTATAGAAGAAAACAAATGTGATCCAAAAGAGAACCATCATTATATAATTTATGGAAGGATCTGTTTATTTTGTTTCTGGCTTTCTAAATGATTTAACTTTGGGGGCGGAAGCATGAACCATTAGTACTAACAAAGAAGGAAGAATTAAGCTCAGTCAGTGAGTCATAGGCACTACGCAAACTTTGCCATACATCTGTATTCCCCCACGTCGCTCTGAAGTATTGCTTCAGACTCTTGCAAAGGACAAAATGCCAAATATCACTGGATCCTACTGTATTTTCCACCCCTCTTTTTTTTTTTTTTTTTAAATATGAACAGGTACCCTTCAGGAACTAGAACTGCCACTTACAAAAGAACCTAGCAGTATTCCTGGGTCTAAAATTTAGTTACTAAATTTCAAGGCCCTTAAAACAGTCTACAGAGAGGAGCTTCTACCTCCCCTAGTCCATGCTGAAAATTCCAGAGGAAGGCAAGAATAAAAAAAAGCAAATGGTCACTTTTAATACATGTCACCTGGTCTCTGAGCAGGCTAAGACTTTAATGCTGCACACTGGAAAAGGAAGGAGAGATGAGCCTGTCAAATACAGTTCTGACTGAGTGCTCATCACAGGCTGTCAGCATGACTGAAAGTAAGTTCCTCAGGCATCCAAACTGAAGGCTGCCAATTATATATTATATTCATGATCAGAATGTATACGAGAGTATTTTTTTCTTTGAAAATGAAGGCAAAGACAGGGCTCAAAGCCTTGTTAGTACTTGAGGGTAAGCAGCAGAGACTAAATGTAGTTTCATTACACATTAGCCTGTGTCAGTTTGTTTTTTCCCCCGCACAAACAGGAACTTCGTGTGGTGAGCAATGGCCCTTTTTCTACCTTCCTCACCACAGTAGGCCAGTGGTCTGCCCTCTCGTAGGCTTGTACAAACTAAAGATAAAGGTGAAGAACAAGACATTGATGGCTTCCTTCTCTGCTCCCTTGGACATGCAAGTAGTACTCTTCTCTAGCGCTCCAGATAGATAGCTCCGCAGTTGGGACACACAGAGCACGTGGATGACTGTATACCATCATCCCATTCCACAGACCTGGACTGGGCTGTGGGTGGTTGGATTTTTAGAGCAGGGGAAATGCTGGTACTTTTGCAGCCAGCCAAGACTTCCAGTCAGTGTTCATGCTCCGAGTCCAAAGTACAGAAAATACACAATTTATCTAGCGTCTATGAGACAGCAAAAGAAGGTTTACCTGGTTGATCGTAGGATGCCCATGCTAGGTTTTCTCCACATTTTCCATTAGCAGACTCAGAGCTGTGTTTGAGGACCCTCGTGGTAGCCAGTTCTTCTGCATACCTAGCAAAGTAATCCAAACATCATGTCACTGACCACAGCCAGAGGCTGGCTGGGAAAAGGAAGAGGAATGATGGAACCAGGAATGATGTTAGAAGAGGAGGGTTTAAGTAAATTACTCAGTCCCAAATCCCTAAAGCCAAGGATGCTTTGAGCTGACATAGATCTAGGAGTCAGGAAAAGAGAAGGCCCAGAGGTCCAGTCATTTTTCCTGTCCTATGTAAGAGTTTGTCTCACTACTGAGAAGGGCCTGGAGAAAACAAAGGGCACAAATCTCCCTTCACCATGTTCTGTCTACACTTGAGAAACCCACAGGTTATCCTTAGCTGCAGCTGCTGCAGGTAAAGAAAACAGAAGCACAAGCTGGAATTGCTACAAGCGCCAGCTCCTAATGTTTCTAGGGCACCACATGGGAGTCACCTGCACAAGAGACAATGATGTGGTTTAGAAATCAGAATACCGATGAAGGCTTCATCAACTGGGGGGGAAGAGCAGAACCCAAGCCCTCCCAAACAGGTTGGGTCAGTGATTCGCTGTCAAAACTGAAGGCTATTTCCAGCATCTATTTGCAGTAGTCTGTCTTGGGACCTCTTCAGTGACATATCCAGCAGAATAAAAGGTACACTTAAATCAGTTTTAGCTGATAAGCAGAGACTTGTTGCAAGCACTGTGAGGCATAAACCTAAATGTTCCTATTAAATAGACTGAAGTGGGGATTCACTCAAAGGAAATGTAAAAAAGCGTAGATTTAGAAATGCAAAAAAAAAAAAAAAAAAAACCCACCAAATATAAAAACAGGAAAAACATGCCAGGCAGCAGTACTGAAGAGAAGGGGACCACATGGAGAATCTGAGGTAACAACTGTGTGTACTAACAAAAGGATACACAGCACTGTTTTTATAGAAGGTAACATGTGCAAGCATGAAGTAAGACAAAAAACACATTGCACGATAAGATTAACAAGATCATCCTGTGTAAAATGCAATTATTTTCTTTATTCAACATTCACACAGACAATGAGAATGGAATGACCATTTGCTGTTTCTCACAGCACAAGAAATAGGAGGCAACACACAAAACCATCACACAGTAGATTTTAAATGCAAATAAGACAATGCACTTTTTTCACAGAGTGTGCATTTACTGGAACTCATCGCCACAGGATGATGCAGAGACCAAAGCACACATGGGTTTGGAAAAAAAAAAACTGGACAAATTTATAAGGAAAAAAGGTCATAAAAGGTAAAAGGTTATTAAACACAAATGAAGAAGATGTAACCTGATGCTTAGGAAATCCATAAGCTGCAATTTTCAGGAGGGAGGAGCAGTACATTTGGTCTGTCCTATTACTTTTTCCCTAAACATGAAAGTACTGAAGTAATGAAACATTACTACTTCTCTTCCCTGCTGGCATCTGCTAGAGACAGAATATCGGTCTAGCTGGACATTTTGGCCTGCGTCAGTTATTTCAGATATTAGGTTCTGATTTCCTTTTGTCCTGTTCCTCTCCCCTCACTAAAAAGGGGAGAGCATTTGGCTGACCCTGCAGCAAAATTGGTTCGTTTAGAAATAACGAAAACCTATCAGTTATAAGCCTGCTAGATCTTGACCTAGAGGATCTCTTGATATTCCTTCATGCCATATATTGCTGCAATTCTGTAATGCTTCTCTTCAGGGATTCATACATTCCAGGCAAGAGGCGAGACTGGAACAAAGTAAACGTAGCATGTAGACCAAGGTGCCAAGGATTTGAGATGAAGGATGTGATTAATTTGCTCTAGTTCAGGCATTTGAAAGTTTGACATTTGAATCTGAGATTGTCACCTTTACAGTTAATGGAGATAAAGAGGTGTCTATGGCAGATGACTCACCTCATCCTAAAGCAGGGATCCTATAGTCAATTCATCTAACCTGTCTCGATTGTTGAGACTGAAAACAGTAGAAAACAGACTATTTTCAACACAGATACAGAAGCACAGCAAAGTACCAGAAGTTACAGACAAAGACTGGTAACCTGCTTGTTAAGTGACAGAGCAGAAAAGAACATTTGTGTTAAAGATAGCAGAAATACCTAAATAAAAGGTGAAGCTCTTTCTTATTATGAAAAAACTGTCTTGATATATGTGCTTTCTTATATTTGAAGTCTTCTATTCAGATCAAACCATTTCTGGCTCTTGCTGTCAGCCAATTGCACCAGTCTCCGAACAAGTGTCTTAGCAGTTAAGTTACTGATAGCAATGAAACACAGGTTCCCCACTGTTATGCCTCACAGCGGGGAGACTCAGCTGAGACCAGAGAAGACTGTGAGGAATTCCAGAAGGACCTAAAAATACCCAGCAAGGGCAATAGCATACTTAGAGATAAATGTGGAGTAACGCACATTTGACAGGATAATCTGAACCATTCATAAAAACTGTTTTGTTTAAACAAACTGTAACCTCTTCGAAGACACAACAAGTGCGATTGACAAGTCAAAGAAATCCCTTCTTCATTGTGAGGTCGCAAGTAACAGAAAAACAGAAACAAAACAAACCCATGAAGAATAGGAAAGAAAAACCCAGAAGATTACAAAGGCATGCAGATGAGTCACTGGCATTCCAACTCTCGGAGTACTGTATCCAGTTATCATGATGTCTCAAAAAAAGAATGTGAAAAAAGAATGACAGAATAAGAGTTTGCTTGCTTCCAGAGGGCAAGCCTACATGCCATGTACACGGTGTGTTGTACAGTACAATACTTGGTAGAGATTTCTGATCTAGGAGTGAGGGAGCAGATGCATCCACGCAGCAGAGAGCAGCACCATGCTGAGACAGTAAATCAAGTTCTGGAATCGGTGTAGCCTCGCTGGATTCCTGCCAGCTGCCTCTGAGAACTCTGCATGGTTATGGTAGAAAGCCTAACAGGAAATAAGTTATCATGTCAGCAGGGATCACACTGGCCACTATTTAGCTATAATGAGGTGGGAAGACATCTGATTTCTGAATAGTTTAATGAACATTTTCTCCATCACATTTCCTTTGAATTGTGAGGACCTCTTCCTCAGCCTGAATAATGGAAGATCATGATAGATTTTCAAATCTACCTTTGAAAACTCTGATGTAAAGGGAAATGAATTAATCTCTGTCGGCTCCAGCAAAGAGGAAAAGCAGTAACGGGCTCAAATTTCAGTAAGAAAAACTTAAATCAGACAGCAATAAGAACCAGCGAAGGATAGCTGGTTCTGCACAATAGATTAAACTGACAGAAGTTGTGGAGTCTTCAGCACTGGAGAAGAGGCAAGACTGTTCTCTAGTCCATCAGGAGGGACAGAAGTATACTGATTTTGCATTTGCGGCAGGGAGATAGACAATCTGATTTCCTGAAGTTACTTCCTGGATTCTATTCATCTCACACCAGTCGTCACTTCCTACACAGAGGAAAAGCTGCCTCCTCCACTATTTCAGCTTGTAGGTGACAATACACCACCTGATCCAGATGGTGGTGAAGCACATTTTATTAAACTGTCCTCTGCAAAGGAGGAAGCACAACAATGTAGACAGGTGCAGCCCACATCTGGAAGAGGGTGCAAGAAGATCCACACAGCTGTGATCACAGAAGTTTACGAGTGAATAACTGGTGTTATGTGACAGAAAAAAGAGAGTAAAGCCTCTCACTTTCCACCCAGTAAGTCTTCACTGAATATCAGCATATCAAAAGGCAAGTGTTTCTGCAGTATGTACAGTCATACCATAAAAGTGATAGAAATTTCATTAGAGAATCAAAAGGACTGAACTCACTGTTGCGCTCCTCTGTTTAACTTCTTGCAGAGTTTTAATGGGGGTACTCCATGTTTCTTCCGGTAGTCATTGTGTGCTTTCAAGACTTCTTCAGCAAATTGTTTGGAAGCTGAAATTACATTAAAACGGAGAAAAAAAAAAAGGTCTGTCAAATAAAGACATCAGTGAAAATAGAAAAAGCATATCCTGTAGACTGTGAAGCAGGTGCAGGTTGGACTCTTTAGTGGAAGAACAGAAGCATACCACTTTCATTACCTTCACGAGTAGAACGAAATCAACCATTAAATGCCTTCCATCCAAGAACTCTAAATACACTTCAAATAGGATAGTATGGATTCATTAAAGGTTGAAGAAAAATGTAAACCTTATTCCCTTCCTCAACAGCAAGGGACTTAAAGGTTAGTATGACTGATTTTCATTTTACGATGTCTTTGCACTGCATGACCACTGCAAAGAAGTCTCAGAATAAATTAGAATTAGGTTCTTTGAGAAGATGCACTAGAAAGGCCAATTATTTTCATCTTCTGCAAGAATTTAGGTGATGTCTTGATGAATACAGAAAAGAAAATTGAGATATTAAAATGTGTAGAGGTATGCAAATACTTTGCAACTTGCACCATTCTTCTTATTAGCTATCTAGTACAAATGCTTAGAGAGCTCAGAATACACCATTTGGCTCAAGACAAATAACCATCACAAGCAGCAAGTGGCAACAAAGGAAATAACTGCTGGGGAGGATTTCTCTTCTGTGCTAGGGTGTATTTGGTAAATATATGAACTCTGAATTTATTGCAAAAGCTTTAAAAGGGCTCATGTTTGGTGAACCTGGGAATTTCAGCAGCCCAAGGCAGAGCACAAGTGACAAGTCACAGCGGCAAATCAGAAGTAATGCATTTTGACAGCAATTTCATGTTACCTCCCTTTACACTTTTGTAAAACTTTCAGGGAAGAATTCTTCTGTGAAGTTTGGGAAGTTGCCCTGTGGAGTTTTCTGCTTAAAGAGAAATTTGTAATCTGAAGCAGGGTGTTGGGACAGCTAGAGAGAGGTATGGATACATCTTTAAAACATAAAGATACTTTTCACTTTCCCTGTACTGCTGAAGCTTCTGAACAGGCCAAGATATATTTGAATATCAAGTCCGCATTTACAGTGGACAGATTTCTACATTTCATAATGCTATTATTAAATATATGCTATTTTTGAATATCCTAATTAGCAGGATTCCCATCACTTTGCTTGTAAGATGCTTTCACAACCCTGACAGACCTCATGTCTACACAGGTTTTCCTGTTATTAACTTTACTTTTCCCAAGTTCTTTCCAATACTCTGGATTCTAACAACTATAATCAATAATTTATAGGGTGTATACTATTCTGTTGTTTTTAATGATGTGTTTTCCCCCAGGGTAGCTGTCCATTTGCATATACTGCTCTTTGTAACTTCTTCCAGAAGTAATTACCCAACCCACAGTCATGCTTTCAGCTGTTCTCAGCGTTTTCTCTAGTTTCCCAATAGCTTTCAGATAATATGGTGGCCTAGGGTAAGTTCAATATCCAAATATACGTAGAAAGCCATTATTGTTTCATGTAAGGCTTTATAACTTTTGGATTTGAAGTTGGGTTGATCTTTTCTGGACAAAAAGTGTCAGTGCAGACATAGATCTAACATATTCTCCATCAATATGCTTTCAGGCTAAATTCTTTGTTGGTATAAATTGTTGGTATAAGGTGCCTAGGAATTGAGTGATAAGAGATCCGCCAACCACCTCTCTCCTCCTACATTTCCCTCCCCACATCCCACCTTTCCCTTCAATTTTAATGAGTCACAACAGGGCACATAAATTGCACATCATCAGATAGAATAGGTACCTCCACTTTGGTTCTTAAAAACCCAGATGCCCTTTTGCTAACAAGGGTGTCCCATCACTCTTATTATCATTGCTCCTAGCCCACAGATTCCATTAGGCCAGAAGTCTTAAACCTCTCATCCGCTGCATCATGGGGGAACGCTGCCTACTTCTAAGGCTTCTGTCACAGGTTACTGAAAGAGCAAGCCCACCGCCAGGTGGTTTAACTTCATTCTGCTGGGGTCCACGTTTACAGCAGGGAAATTTTAAGATAGCCTGTAAATCAAAGAAGTTGATACAAGACATTACAAACTGCATCACATGCTTCAAGTTGCACTTTTCTGCACAAGACCACCTTAGAGCTTGTGGCTGACGTCACCTAGGCTTAATATCTCATCCGCTCAGCATCAAATAATGGATAAAAAAATCTGACCTGCAAGGGTGAAAGTTTTATTCAAACAAAGTGTTTCCGATTATGATAACAAAAATCAAACTCTGGAAAAAAAGCTTAAAGTCTACTGAAATGCAGATTTTGTCAGTGGTCAGTCCCTCCATTAACGGAAATAATGACCAATCCAGTTCTGTACTAAGATTTTGACTTACAAAGACCAAAAAGTCATGGACATAACTGACAGTTTCTTCAAGCCATGGCAAACACTGCTTTGCTGTGCTTTGAGACCCTCCTTCTCCTCTTGCCTTCCCTCAGGGGTGGTTGCTACAGAAACACTTATCTACCGTGACTCAAGCTCATGTGCTAACCTCCTCTCTCTCATGTGCTAGTTCTCCTGTGCATTTCGGTGTGTTGGGAGGAATTCCAAACTGCCAAATATATTTCAGATTTGTTTTGGAAGACATGTTAAGTTTTTCCATTTTATCCGTGTTCCATGTACTGAGAAGCCAGACATTAAGAGTGAGAGTTAATGAGAGTTTTCAGGCTCCCATCCAGATGGGAACAACATCCCAAACAGCTTTGGAGCTGCAACTTTTTTTCCTTCACATAGACTGCCTAAGCTGCTAGAAAAAAAATATTTCCTAATGCCAGGAAGCTGTTTTGGCTCCTGAACCATTACACGTTTAAAAAAAGCAAACACACACACACAAAGCTATTAGATACAGTTGCTTGTTTCTCATTAGTCACACATTTACCTCTTTTGATTCTTTTGGAACGTCGACTAAGATGCGACAGTACATGACAATGAATTTCCAGGCTCCAATGGGGTATAGAGCACACCCTGCACTTATGTTTTCTGCCTTTCATTGGTTCTATTGACCAATTTTGGGTGACCATGGAAAAGTGAGCAGGAGCATCTAGGCTAACTTTCCCCATGAGATTTATTATTCCAAGTATTCCCTTTCTCCATTCTTTTACTTATCTCTAAACAGCACCAATCTACTCAATCTTTCTCATGTGAAAAGCTCCTTCTCCCTCTTCTCTGAGCCCCATCTTCTCCTATTCTTTTCTTCTCTCAACTTGGCTGAACTGAAGTGACTTAACTGAGCATGCCTTCCATAACATTAGCTGCTTTGCATCGCCTTTGCAGCCATCAGTTGGTCCTACAACACCGGTCTCGTAGAGCAGCAAGGTGGCACATGGGGAAAGGACAACAGTGAAATATTCCACAAAAACAGGAAACCTCTCCACTCAAGACCTACAGAGCAGAAGTGCTGTGGGTAGCCCTTAATTTACCACTTGGGAGCCACAAAATTATGCCAGGCATACTCTGGACTAGAAAAAAAATGTCACCTTTTTTTGTGGCTAAGTACCCACCTCAGTCATTCAAAAAGGAATGCAGTATCAATTTCCAGAAGTATCATTACTGTCTTCTTAGCAGTCTCTGTCCTATTGCTTATGGATTAGTCTTTACAGGCAATTTTGTATTTTCCATCTATATTAAGTTTTTCTGCCTTCAAAAGATAATCAACATACAATGCAGTCAACAAAAATGGACTTCATGCAGGCCCAGTCCTACACAGAAATTCCCCATGATGTCTCTCTCGATCCATTTTTGAATCACAACATAGACCTCAATTTTTCACTCTAGGTGTGCATTAAAGGAAAACAGAGATAATGGCCCTACCTTTCAATTTTACCCCAAAATAAATACTCAAAAGCGTACCCATATAATGGCTAGAGCCATGTTTCTGAAGAAGGACATACCTTTCAAAGGACCCACTGTTTTGGAAAGAGGAAAGAAGCACCTTCTTGCTCCCCGTTTGAGATAGTAATGTCTGCAAAGATTGGCCTTAATGCTATTATTGAATATGTCATTTGGTAGCATGGATTTGACAGTCCAATTCATTCAACACTTCAAAGCACAGAAATTGACTTCTTTCAGTGCTAAACCCCAGTGTACTCCAAAAAAAAAAAAAGGCTGATTTCTGGGAAACATACAGAAGTAATGAAATTACATTTATTTCTTGGAGGGAAGGAAAGAGAAAATGATGCTATATTCAGAATTATATCCTGGTTGAGGTTTCTTTGTCTTCTTTTACACTTTTGATCCAAGAATTCAGTGAAGATACAACATCTCCATCCCATACAATGGGCATTTATGGGAGATATCATAGGCGTTGGTACGATCCTTTTACAAACCAGCAGAGAAAGTACTGCTTAAAAGCATGAAAGGAATTGGGGGCTATAATTAGACATGACTTTGAATGGGAGTTGTTTCCTGGAACTTTCTTGCATTTATCAGGCTGCTCAGAATAGTTTTTCTTTCAGGTCAGGAGTGGTCTCTGCACAGAGAGGATTCTTGGATGTCCTTCATCATTCATTTTTGTCTTACCTTTTCTTATACACCTGCTTATCACTGGGATGAGCTTCAGTGCAACAGTAAGAGGTTTGAGTTAACTGAACCTGTTGGACAAAATCCTCGTTCATTCAATTGTTGAGGTTTCCTCTCCACCAAACTGGCAGCTTAATAACGTCACATTACCTGTGCCACATGGCATAATACAGGGTTCTCCCCCATACCCAATTTGAGGCATATTATATGAGAATATAAAACTGCTGGTGTAATAACCTGTCAGTGCCATTAGGCATGTCAGTATTTGATTGCAAATCCTATTCTTGTTATAATAGACAGCGTTTATTACTTCCTCACTTAAGGCCTTTTATCGACTGTAGGCAATTGGCTCCCTGATTAAAAAGGAACACCTGGTGAACTGGAAACTGCACAGCTCTCAGAGGAAGCAAAGCCTTTTGTGATATAAGCATAGAAAAAAAGAAGGCTAATTAGCACTGTCTTGAGCACTGACAAA